TGTCCATAACCCTAAGAGGAGAATGGAGGAGGAGTTGCAGCATGGCCATCCCCCCGGGGTGGTTCATGTGCCCTATGGCAACAATCTTAAAGACAAAAACAAAATAAAACAAAATAGACAAACCTACCTGGAGGCTAAATTTTTTTCTTTTCTTTTCTTATTTTCTTTAGAGATTTTTGCCTTACGGCATGTGGAGAGAGAGACGGTGAAAGGGAAAATGAATCCCCTGGGGGGATGGCCACACTGCAATCCCTTCTCCTCCATTCTCCTCTCGGGATCTTGGGCACGTACGCACATGCGCCTGGCGTGTTTTAAGCCACCGGGTCAGGGATGCGAATCGCAGTCGACTACGTGGGAGACCAGCAACATAGCCATTTTGCTAACTACTGGTCCCACAGCCTCTTTTGGTTATCCATGCAGGTTGAATTGAACATCATTTCAGTCATCTCCAATGTAAATGTGTGTGATGTAAATTGGAAAAACCATGTCCTCATGGGCGATGCCTCCTCTCCGGCACAATTCTGCAGCATTTGCGGTGTGTGTTTCTGTACTGCATCGCGACTCTTCTTTACATTGGTTACACGACCTGTATTGGGAGAGTCGCAAACTTCCCATGGTTGACTTTGTTGTTACTCTCGTTGCCACTTTGTTATGGTTGGTGAGCACTTCAGCCTCGGCTAAAGCTCTTACAGATATTAAAATAGCTACTGGTCACAATATTGTTCAGGAACTTCAGCCTTGTAAGGTGGAGGAAGTGATGTGTTATTAAGGCTCAGTGGCTAGTATGGGATCCCTAAATGTGTCTGTGGTCTTGGGCTTTCTGAATATGATACTTTGGGGAGGAAATGCTTGGTTTGTGTACAAGGAGACCAACTTACACAGTCCATCAATTCCTTCTGCTTCCCATGGCCAAGGAGGTATTCTACCTCCTACTGGAATATATGTAAAGGGAGAAATGCACCGTAGGCAATATGTCTGTACTCCGGCTTGTTGCCAACATCTTGAGAAGCATAATTTGTTTCTAATAAAAGTACAGGCTTTTTCAATAAATTGGTGGGTTTAAAATTTTACTGCTTTTTTTTTTTTTACATAAAGCCTGTGCCTTTCCTAGAAATTTAAGATGTAAATGTATTTCACATGTAAATTTGAAAGTTCAGGGGCCTATTAGGATATAATACACAATTTTAAGTAAACAGCGATTTTTTTGTCATTTGCCTTCCAAAGTGTTTTCACCTTAAGCCTTAACATATACCTTCAAACAGAAAATGATTATATTGTTATATCATAATAGAAAAAAAATCTTTATTTAGAATATGCACTAATGTAAGTTTGTACAGATCATATACCTAAGTCCTACCTTTGTTTAAGAAAGCCTGATTACATAAGTCATATTTAGAAAAACCATACTTAGTTCAAAATTTATATCTGAACATTGTTCACAAATATGTTATTTTATTTTATTTTTTTTAGAGAGATTTGGCTATAGAGTGCGTGCACTTGCCAGAGAGACAGAGAGAGACAGAGAGACAGAAAGGGAGAAATCACCCTCCAGGGAGGATGGCCACACTGCAATCCCTTCTTTTCCACTCTCCTCTCAGGATCTTGGGCATGCATGCACACGAGCTTGGCATGAGTTTAAGCCATGGGGTCCAGGACTTGAACTGTGATTGACTACATGAGAGTCCAGTGACGTAGCCATTACACCAACTGCTGTCTTATTATGAAATTTTTTTTTTGAGAGGTTTTTGCTATAGGGCACATGCGCTTGCCAGACAGACAGAGAGAGACATAGAGACAGAAAGCGAGAAATCACCCCCCCAGAGGGGATGGTCACGCCACAATCCCTTCTCCTCCATTCTCCTCTTGGGATCTTGGGCACGCACGCACACGTGCCTGGCGTGAGTTTTAAGCCACCGGGTCCGGGACACGAACCGCAGTCGACTACATGGGAGTCCAGCGACACAGCCATTACGCTAACTGCTGGTTCCCTCATTATGAAAATTTTTAACTGCAAAGACTAGGTATATTTTATTTCTGTTTTTCTAAAAGACCTGCTGTACTTAACAGGTATACTAAAATTGTGTTGGGAGCACAGATTTTGAATTTTGTAATAGACATCTACTTAGTTATTTTTTGCATGGATGTAAGCTTCCATTATGCCGGTGGTTTAACAGACTTGCTATATAAGTAGAAAGAACATGGCTCAACTAGACGTTTTGATATGTACGGGCATTACGCTTAGTGATACTTGTTCGCTATCCTTTGTTGTTCACGCTATTTAAGTGCAGGCTGAGACCTAGTTTCTTTGCAAGTAGAGTAAAATAATTAATCTTTTTGTGGACCTATTCTGAAAATAAGAATTGTCTTTTACTTTTAAAACATTCACATTTAGAGTCAATGAAGTTGCTATTTTGAGCTTAGCATTGATATTGTGAAAACAAATGCAATTTGGATTTCATGTTGCTTAATGTTCATTCTTTACAAGTAGATGATTAAGAAATTATGAATCACAAAGAACTTAAGTGAGCTATATTATGAATGCACTGTCTTTGCACACACATTTGGGTATATTCTGAACACAGGACTTATTCACATTTTGCTTTCTAATCTTTGTTGTACAGGGATCCAGATATCCTAGTCTTACAACACAATTGTTTATATGTGAAACACATTGTATTATTGCCTTATTTTTGCTGCTTTTATTCATGACAAGAATTGTCAGTATCAGAATGGATATCTTTTATGCAACAGATTAATAAAGAAGTTGAAAGACCAAAAAAAGCAGTAAATGGGAGAAATAAATCAAGATATATCCATACAAAGGAGTACAACTCAGCAATAAAAGGAACTGTTGATATACAAAACACCATGGATGAATCTCAAAGTAGTTATGCTGAGTAAAAGAAGTCAGACTAGAAAAAAAAAAAAAAAAAAAAACCAAAAACAAACCAGGTACACAATGGATGATCCCAGAACATGGGAACTAATCTATAATGATATAAAGCATGTTAGTTTGTGTATGGGAAGAAGGTGAGGGTTAGGGTGGAGGTAGCAGGGAAGGAATGAATTAGAAAGAGACACAAAGTAGGCAGTCCTGTAGCCTAGTGGTTAAGGGAGCCAGATTCCACATGGCCGACTGCCGTTGGGATCCCAGGCCCCAGCAGCTAAAAAAATAAATGCTGGGGGACCAGCAGGTGGTGTGGTGGTTAAGGGCGCTGGATTCCCACATGGCCAACCGCGGTTTGAATACCAGACCTGGCAGCTTGCTTTCTCACTTCTCCCCCTCCCCCTCTCACCCTATTCCTCTTTGGTCAAATATAAATAAATATGTAAATAAAGTTGAAATAAAGTAATTATTTTTTAAAATGCTGGGCATGTATGCGTGTGTGCACAAAATCCTGACTGGAGGGAGAAATGGAGGAAAAAGGATTGCAGTGTGCGAGCTGTATGGACACAGCTGGGTACTACTTTATAGTATGTTCATTCTACTCACTGGGGTTTATGCCTAGGGCCAGATTTGGGTACATGTATATGTGTCAGCTGTGCTAGCTATTGGATATATTTAGACTAATTAAGTTCATTGGCAGAACAATTGAATGGGAGGGGGCGGAAGTCATGGAGGGCAATCATGGATGCCAGGGACAATGGAGGAGGAAGATGGGACATGGCAGAGGGTGGGGGATGGGGAATCAGGGATGGCAAGACAAAGGGCAAGGTATGCAGGATGTAAGAATTGGAAAATTACTTGCTGAGAACATGTATGTTGATGTGCTTGATTGAACCAGTACACAGTGTATTTTGGATGGAAAATTTATTGGTGGGTTGTGATGGTGTATAGTGAATTAAGGTAGAAAATAAAAATTAAAAAAAAAAAAAAGAAATAGCGCGTTAGCCACTCACCCAGATGTGGTTGTGGGTAACTGTCAATACGCCACACAGGTGGCACAGTTATCTTGCCATTTACTGCCTGATGCCTCAGCAACTGCTGCCAGCCCTTCAGAAATAGGAAATGACTAATGATGTGGTGGAAAATATGAACCAGGATTAATAAAACTTGAAAAGGAAAAAAAAAAAAAAAAAAGGATTGCAGTGTGGCCACACCCTACTGAGGAATGCTTTCTCTTTCTCTGGCAGTGCACATGCCTTCTGGCAATTAAAGGGAGAAAAAGTTCAAAAGATAGATAAATTAAAAATAAATAAATGAGTAAAAGTTTCAATGCGATGGGTGTGTGTTCAGTATCCTGACAGGAAAGAGGAATGACCTGTGATGTAACCAGCTCCCATTGGGAGCGCTCTCTCTCTCTCTCTCTCTCTCTCTGTCTCTTCTCTGGTGCATGCATCTGCCTTTTCTCATTGAAAAAAGAAGGAAGGCTTAAATCCTTTTCTTACTGGGTTTCAGAAGATATTTGTGGGCACCATCTTTGTCTTTTTTCAAATCTTCTAGTAAGGAGAAAAAATAGATTAAAAAGAAAAATTAAGTAAAATAAAAGCCCTATTTGCTACTTTTACAAAGAAAATGTACTTTCTAGACATACCTCATGCTGAAGTATGATTCAGAGCCTCCAGAGGGTCCTTAGTCGTTTCATAGAGTTCCTGAGTTTCCTCTTAAACACTAGACTCAAGATACATTCATGCTGAGACCAGCAGTTAGCGTAATGGCTATGTCGCTGGACTCCCATGTAGTCGACCGCGGTTCGCGTCTTGGACCTGGTGGCTTAAAACTCACGCCGGGTGCGTGTGTGTGCGTGCCCAAGATCCCAAGAGGAGAATGGAGGAGAAGGGATTGTGGCATGGCCATCCCCCCTGGGGGGTGATTTCTCGCTTTCTGTCTCTCTGTCTCTCTCTGTCTGTCTGGTGAGCACACACGCTCTATAGCAAAAACCTCTCCAAAAATAAAAAGATACATTTATGCTTTCTGGATAAGACGTGATGAGAGATCTGATGTGCTAAAAATACTGCACATAAAAATATTACCATTTTATCCTCTTCTGGGATTTTAGGTAAGAATTTAAAAACTCAACCTGCCTTGAACAGGATGGGCCAAGAGGACTGGGAAGACCGTTTCCTTCGACTTCGTGAGGAGCACATATTGGTGAAAGAACTTTCTTGGAAGCAACACGATGAGATCAAAAGGTACCTGAGGTCTTAAAGCTTTAACAGCTGTGTCTACACCAGGCCTATACCACACCAGACAAAAGGAGTACACTTTATTGAGATGTCTATACCAGAAAATGACTCAAATGCCGAGGATGTTTCGCTCCAAAAATAATGAGTGAAACAGTATTTGTTTGCTTGTGTGTTTGTTTTTCTTGCCAAACACATCAGATTATGACCACAAGCCACAAAGCATTACCAAAAACCCATGCGATACTATTAATATTTCAAGCCAGCGAGTCAGAAACTGGGCAGGATCCTACCCTAGTCACAAAAGAAGGAATGGAGATGGGCAATGGTCATAATCTCAGAGGAGCGAAGCCTTTGGGAGCAAAGAGAAAAGCTCTTTATTTATAAACAAAACCAAAAACAAAAAATCATACGTATTGGTCCTTAAATATATTCAGGTACAAGTGCTTTATATGTATTAACTAATTTAATATTATAAATACGATGATCTCATTTATATGTATGCAGGAGATGTTAAGAGGTAAAGGAGGGAGCAGCAGGTGGCCAAGGTGATTAAGGTGCTGGACTCCCACATGACGGACCACAGTGCAAGTCCCAGACATGGCAGCTTGAAAATCACATAGGGTGTGAGCGTACATGCCCAAATCCCAGGAGGAGATTGGGGGAGAAGGAACTGTAGTGTGTCCATCTCTCCTGGGGGGGTTATCTTTAACTCTCCCTCTCACTGTCTCCGGTATGTGCATGTGCCCTATGGCAAAAAAAAAAAAAAGGAAAAAGAGGCATGAAGAGGCTAGATACCTTACCCAAGATCACCTAGTGAATAGCTGAGCTGTAAGCTTTTAACTCCAAAATATACTATTAATATATTCAGTGATCAGGACCAGCAGTTGGCATAATGGCTATGTCGCTGGACTCCTATGTAGTGGACTGCGGTTCAAATCCCGGACCCAGTGGTTTAAACTCTTGCTGGGTGCGTGTGCATGCGTGCCCAAGATCCCGAGAGGAGAATGGAGGAGAAGGGATTGCGGCGTGACCATCCCCCCTGGGGGGTGATTTCTCACTTTCTGTCTCTCTGTCTCTCTCTGTCTTTCTGGCGAGCGCATGCACCCTATAGCAAAGCCCCCCCCCCCAAAAAAATATATGTACAGTGACCGTAGATTATTGGATTTCAAAGGAGCATCTTTGGGGTGGGAACCTGCAAAGAAATATGACTTGGAGGTACAGGGAGACAAACAGGTGGGAAGGATGGGAGGACTGAAAGCTCGGAGCCTGTCTACAGGGTAGATTTTGAGAATATTGGTGTCCTTGTCTTCCTGCTAAAGACTACCAGGGTCATCCTTGTAGAGCAAATTTCTTTATTACTTGTTAAAGCTAGAAAAAAACATGTATCGTGGGAAGGTAAAGCTATCTCAATACATGTGCTAGAATCTACTATAGTATTTGGGCTTAGGTTGGATGATTTGGGGGAGGATTCAAGGAAACTGGGGTTTGTTCTAGATTTCGTGCTGTCAGAAAATGGACAATTCTGTTTGAGTATCTCAATAAATCTTAACTATAGGCAGGGAAAACTAAAGCAAGATGTGGTTGGTAAAGAAGTTGTGGTTAGGCCAGTAGATAGCATGATCGTTAAGGTGCTGGGAGCATAGGTGGCCAACCAGGGTTTGAGTCCCGACCTGGCAGTTTGCTTTCTCACTTTCCCTTTCTCCCTCTTTCTCTCTCTCTGGTGAGTACATGTTCCCTATAGCAAATTAAATAATAAACAAAATAAAATAAAGTATTAAAAAAAGAAGTTATGGTCACTCATATCAGCCCACGAAATTGGTATTTGTGGTGGCACTGACTTTGGTTTTTTATCTGTGCCTGGACAAAATTGTGAAGTGAACTTGCTTTATCCTGGCCTCAGGGGGACCCTGTCTGATGTTGGTGTTCTATGAGAGGTTCCGATGCGAGAATAACCAGGCCTACTTTATAAACAACACTGAGGACTAGTTATGTCAGACCAGTTTTCCAACGTGAAGGATAGCTTTTTTGCTTTCTCATGGTAATCCCAGGAGTGGTTTAGATCTTCGTTTAGAATCTATAGAATTGCGGGCTTCCAGCTGACCAACACTCTTCAGAGTTGATTGTTATATATGTGGAAAACTTGAGACTCTGGTAGTCAGTTTACAAAGGCCAAGAAACTTACTTCTTGCTTGATAACCAAAGAGTAGGTGAGATGATAGATGTCAAAAAGTTAAACCAGATTCTGTTCCTCTGGATTTAGGCAAGTTGCCTATCTATGTTATGCCTCTATTTCTTTATTTGGATGTGATAATATGTAATAATAATAGCTCAGACCTCCAGCACTTATTTTGTGCACCTCAGGGTTCTAAGCACCTTATGTATGTTACCTTACTTAATGCTCACAATCTAGAGGGCAAGTACTTTTTTTTTTTTGGAGAGGTTTTTGCTATAGGGTGCGTGTACTTGCCAGAAAGACAGAGAGAGACAGAGAGAGAGAAAGCGAGAAATCACTCCCCAGGGGGGATGGCCACTCTGCAATCCCTTCTCCTCCATTCTCCTCTCGGGATCCTGGGCATGCACGCACAGGTGCCTGGCGTGAGTTTAAGCCACCGGGTCCGAGGCTCGAACCGTGGTTGAGTACATGGGAGTCCAGCGACATAGTCATTACGCCAAATGCTGGTCCCAGCTTACTTCTGAGGCTGTATGTCTGAGATCAGGGTGCCACCATGGTCAGATTTGGGTGAGGGTCTCTTTCTAGCCTGCAGATTCTCTTTCTGGCTGAGCCTATGTTTTCATGTGGTGGATGGATGCTAGGGAGAAAAAGAGACGTCTTATTATTATAAAGTCATATTCCTATGCAATTATGGTTCCACTCTTACGACATCAATTAACCTCTTTTTTAGAATTATTTAATTTATTATCATTATTATTATAATTTTTAAATTTGACCAAAGAGACAGAGAGAGGGGAGAAGTGAGAAAACAAGCTGCCAGGTCTGGGACTCCAACTGCAGTTGGCCATGTGGGGGTCCAGCCCCTTAACAACTACACCACCTGCCAGCCCCTTAATTAATCTTAATAATCTCCTAACTACCCAATCTCCAGATATGGTTGCACTGGAGGTTAATGCCTCAGCATATGAATTTTAGGGAGACACAATTCAGCCCATAAGACAGAGAGACCACAGAGTCTGATGGTAATAGTAAAAGCATGATTTTAGGTCAAGATAACAAATAGTGGGAACCAGCAGTTAGCATAATGGCTATGTCGCTGGACTCCCACGTAGTCGACCGTGGTTCGTGTCCCGGACCCGGTGGCTTAAAACTCACGCTGGGCGCGTGTGCGTGCGTGCCCAAGATCCCGAGAGGAGAATGGAGGAGAAGGGATTGCGGCGTGACCATCCCCCCTGGGGGGTGATTTCTCGCTTTCTGTCTCTATGTCTCTCTCTGTCTGTCTGGCGAGCGCACGCGCCCTACAGTGAAAATCTCTCCAAAAAAAAAAAAAAAAAAGATAACAAATAGTAATTGATTATCTACTATTGGTAAGGAGCTATAAAGAAGTCATCCTTAATTTGGGGGCACATATACAGGGCGTGCAGACTAGTGGAATGGGCGATGTCAGTATTAAAATTTCTTATTTATCACCTCTGTAACAGTATTTTATGTTTTATAATGATGAATTTGTTAGTACAGAAATAAATGTATAGAATTATAAAACAAATATACACACAAATATATTGGAAGAATGCTCCAACCATTTTGAGTAAGAGTGTGATCACAGCAAATAAAATGGATATGATGACGTCTCTCCTCTCAAAGAATTAGTGTATTGGGGCAAAAAAAGTAATGATTATTTATTAAATTTTATTTATTAATTAGTGTGTGTGTGTGTGTGTGTGTGTGTGAGAGAGAGAGA